CAAGATTCCAGATGTGGCCTCCCCAGGGCAGAGTAGAGGGGCAGGAGGACTTCTCTCGACCTACTGGCTACTCCCCTTCTAACACACCCCAGGACGCCATTGGCCTTCTTGGCCATGAGGACACGTTGCTGGCTTATGGTCATCCTGCTGCCCACCAGGACCCCCAAGTCCCTGTCCCCTATTAGTGTAGATTAGACGTAGTGCTTAGGGACATGGTCTAGTGGTAGATCTGGCGGTTGGACTTGATGATTTTAAGGGTCTTTCCCAACCTAAAGGATTCTATGATTCTAAAGATTCACAGTCTTGCAGTACGGCTACCCATAAGGCAAAAGCCCAAATAGAGGATGTCTGCCCTCTCAGCCCTTTGAGTGGCTGTGGCTTCTGAGTCCACAAATTCTCCTGGAAGAGATTTTTGGGGTCCCCCATATGGAGTCTCACAGCCTCAGGGCTTCTAAAAGGCTGAACTGCGTAGGCTCCTCACACACCCTTTTACACACTGTTTAAGGAGTTTACATTCTTTACAGGAAAGGCAGAACAAGCTGATATGTAACCAAACAAGCCTATCGCCCCTTTCTGTAAATCAACACTGGTAATAAATGGGAATTGGATGTTACCGTCACCCTACAAGCAGTGGATCTAATTAGAACAACACTGATTTTAATTTACAGGGCTGCTTCCTGCTACGAATGCCAAAGAACATTTCACCATTGGCTTCACCAGAAAATAAGCCACTTACTACAGCTCACAAGCTGCTATAAACAGTTCCAGTACTGCAGACAAATAGTATCCCCCAAACCCTGAATATGCAGAGACTAAATACTTACCTTGTGTACTGCATGCTGTGTTTCAGTCTCCTCTTGTGCCGATCATGCACTCTGGGATCCAAGTGGTCACCTCATACCTGCAAGTACAGCAAAAGCTGGAAACCGTATGGCAGGTCTGATGACAACAGTCCTGGAGTGAGAAAATATTTCAGCCTGTGCTCCTCAAACAAAACTTTATGTTGACAGTTTCCCAACATCCTCTAACTCAGCCAGTGGAGCATTCCAGTTTGCAGGACTTTTCTCTAGTGGCTGCTCCCCTAAGGAAACTATGGCTTCTGAAGAGTTTGGCGTTGTCCAACACGCTTGACCCTGCCCTCCAAACTCACATTTCAACCACTTCTACAGCTGCTGCTGACTGGGAATGCAAAAATGAGAATAGACCAAGTTTGCACTCTCTTTGCAAGCTGAAATTCGGTGGCAGGTCTCTCTCCTTTTGTCAGTCATCACCCATCACTGAAAAGGCTGATGCAAGTATTTTGCGCAAGTCATTCTTTCACAATCACTTCCTCCAGCATTAAGTGGAGAAATACTTCCTAGGCAGAATTGCATTCCCCTCCCTGAATCTCTACTCTCGATTCTTTGGTATGCATTGGGGGGTTGTTAACTGTACAGAGCAATGAAACATCTTGGCACAGCAAAGTTACTTTGTTGTGTAGGTTCTGTAAAATGTTATCAATATATGCATTTTTATATATATATATATATAAAATATTCATATAAAAGTTGGAATCAAATTTTTTAGTCAAAGAGAGTCCTAGAGAAATGCTTAGCATAATTTCATTTTGTAGGACACAACAATCATATGTTATTAACAAACAAAAGATGTCTAAGAATGGGAATTATATTCTGTCTGAAAATGAAGACACAGCTTGAAAGAAAGTATTCCTCTGAAACACCCAAGGCAATTTTGAGAGGGGATGTTGATGACATTTGTTTCAGCCTGCTTGGATGGAAGCACAGGGTTGGTCAAATGGCCAAGCACACTGCATATATAAAGGGGTAGGGAGTCTTCCTACCAGCTCTGAAAAGGAAATCCATTAAATTCGAACACCTAACCTTACTACTGCAGTTTCAATTTTTTTTTTTTTCCCTGCATAGAAATTGTCATGATCTGCTGCCTGCATGCACCAAGAGACACCTGCCTGGGCACAGACAGACAGGCAGATTCCTGCCACGTGTCAGAGGGCCCAGAGCAGCATCTGTGTGCTCAAGGGTGGCAAAGCCCAGGGAGAAGCCCGAGTGTCTCATAGCAACCTTCAGTCCCACTGGGTTGAAATTAGCATTGCATATTAGGTTAAGAATCTGATGCTTTCAAAAAAAAAGGAATTGAAAGAGATACCTTTGTACTGTCTGTTACAGAGGGTAGATGATAAACATAACAGCATTTTAGAATAGAGACAGAGCATCTGTGGGACACACCAGAGAAGGGAAGCGGTCTTTTAGTGAAAGGATGTCATCAACTTCCCCAAAGCTACCTCTTCCCTCTAGCACCTCTCAGCTGGAATGGTTCTTCTTCTTCTTCAATAGGGAAGACTCAGTTTTCAAAATGTTTAAAAATGTTAATTCTGAGTTTGACGCAATTCATTCCTGTACGTTTTTGTCACCAAAATTGCAGCTCCTGGATAAAGTTAAATATAGTTAAATTTGTGAAGAGCTTTGGAGACCACCACATGTGAGACCATGTACTTCACTGAATGTGAAATGGGCAGGCTTTTCTATCTGTTACAGCTCCACCATTCATTCGTGGAGACTTGAGGTAGGCATCAGCTATTCTTTCAGAAGTAACAACTTTCTCCTAACATACAGGCTCAGCTCACGCTGAACTCACCATGCTTCTAAAGGGGTCAGAGTTTCTGCTTTCTCTTGGAAAGAGAAGACCAAAGCAGCCCTGTCCACCTTGCCATGCCACTGTTCACAAAACAGGCAGCTCATTTCAGCAAACTGCTTAAAAAGTCAAGAAACCAGGATGGGCCTTCTAGTTTCCATCAGTAGGTAAAAAAATTCTACAGGCAGCACAAGTTCTCTCTTTCTCATTCCAGGACGATTTGTTAGAATTTATTAGATTATCCAGAGTCAGGACGGTCCAAGGATGCTCAAGTCATCTGGAAATGCGCTCCACAAGCTGTCCCCCACACAGAGACAAGGTACCAGCCACCTGCCTAGCAGAGCATCAGCCTCTACATTGAGCTGCAGCCTGAACTCAACTTCTTTTGAATCAAGACTCTAAAGCAGGAGACTGCTCCAGTCTTCTAAGGTGAGAATGCTCTTCATTTGCTTTTTCTCCAGAGTAACCGCATGTTTAGTGCTGTACAAAGTTACACCTTCTGGGTGCTTTCCTTCCTCCTCCAAGATTATGTTATGGTTATCCTTTCTCTTTTATAGTGTTTAAAAAAAGGCTGTGCCAGAACATTACATTTTCCCAGCAGCAGGGCACAGATCTGCACAAGCCTGTGCTTCTGTAACTGCAAGTGTTCCAAGCAGAAGCACCACAAAGGCAGATAGATAGGGCTGAATCAGAGCTGTAGCCATCATTTTTG